TAAAGTAATATATATATATATATATATATATATATATATATATATATATGTAACAATAGCGCATGTATTATTACGGTATTAAACGATATTATTAAAAAACAAAATTTTAATAAATTAAGAACATTATTTTTAATATTAGTAATTTTCATTTTTGTTTAAAGTTTAAAAGTGTTACGTTCAAATGTTATTTTTAATTCAATGGCTTGAAAAAACTAAAATAAAATAAATTTCAATAACGTTTTATACGTGCCAACAAAATTTTCTTGTGTGCCATAGATTTGCCATCTCCGCTATATTCAATAATTTTGGTCATTTAACTGAAAATAATATACATAATAATATTATTAAAATAATATAACAAACATTTAGAGCAAAAGATACTTTATATATAAACCGTAATATTTGATGAAACAATAATAATCAAATCATATCTAACTCATACAATTTATCTATTTCTTCACATATTTATTATTTAGAATAAATGCAAAATATTTTTACTATTAGAATAAAACTAAAATTAAAATACAAAACTTTATAAAGCAATTTTTCCCAAATATTCAGTTAAATATCATAATTTTAAAGCTATAGGCAATTTAAGTATATAATTGCTTTTATCTTACAGAATATTATTTCAAATTAGTATACAATGTTAATATAATAGGAGGAGGTGTAAAATATTGAAACAGTCATTATCTGCGATTAACAATTATGTATGTACACATATATATAGGAAGGCAATTTCTCAGTAGTAACACAATCATACATAAAGAGTGAGGATTATATAGCACTTCAACACTACTTGTGCTATTCGATAATTTGTTGCATATTTCATACGCTTCATATGCCAAGCTTTCTATTTATGAAACGACAACCCCTATTAAATTAAGCTAGGTTAGTTGATAAAAGACTGAGTTGTCGTTTCATCAACAGAAAACTTGACATATGAAATGTGCAACAAATTATCAATTATTCAAATAATCCTGTGTGTATGTGTATGTAAATAAGATACTGATTTTCATTGAGTATCAGTAATAATAAGTAGGCGCGATTAAATTAAATACGTTATTCCGGATCTGGTGTTTCTTTCGCACTGTTCTGCTGTTCCTCCTCCTCCTTCTCCTTCTCCTTCTCCTCCTCCTCCTCCTCCTTCTCCTTCTCCTTTTCCTTCTCCTTTTCCTTCTCCTTGCTCCTTGCATCAGGAACCCACAAACCGCTGTCAACGCATCGTTTCATGTGATACGCCGCCTCTTCTTCTGGCATCGCGTTTATCGTTTGTTGCAACAAAGGTATATCTTGTGTTTCAAAACATTTTTGTAAAGGCTGAAACAAATAAAAAAGAATTAGAGAGAAAAAAAACTCTTTAAATGTTATCTCCTATGTTATATGCGGTAAGTTTTTATCTACCTCTGGAAGGCTTTCAAACACTTCGACTGGATCTAATCCACCAGGGCCCAGACGAGCCTTCCTTTCCTCCTCCTCCGCCTCTCTAACTGCGTCAGCTACTTTCTCTGCTGCTCTTTTGCGTATTCTCTCCTTAAATGCTCTGAGTTCATCATCGAAGGAATTTTTGTACTCCTTTACTTCCGGAATCTGAATGCGACTAAAGAAGGAGCCGACGCATGCACGCGGGTCAACATCCAATTGCTTAGATAGTTCCAATATATACTGCATACATATGCATTGATGAGCAACATGTTCCATCAAATCGTGTTTCTGAAAATATATGACAAGTATGAAGAAAGTTAAATATTATTAGTATAAACTGTTAAAATTTCTATCAAAAAATCACTTACTTCCTCCATTTCCAAGTTGATACACCAGATGACTAAATAATTTGCTGTATTCTCGCAAACTAAATGTGGATTCTCCTGTAAAAACTTCTTACTATCATCATATTTCCTCAATATGCCAAACTGTTTCAATTTCTTTTCATTCTCCTTAACAAACTGCTTCATTCGCTTTTCTTTCTCCTCATCTGATAAACTAACTTCATCTTCCTTTCTAGGAGGCTTTGTATTTATCACAGTTTTTGTGAAACCATCTTGACCAATGGTATCTACATTCCATGGTGTCAATCTTTCCTTCTTTTCTATTTCATCCTCTCTCTCTCTAATCTTCTTCTCTTCCTCTTCGAGATCCTGAAGAACTTTTTTCAATGTAGTTAAGTCAGCTGAGTCTTTCTGTCCGCTTTCAAGTTTGGCCAGTTTTTCTTTTGCGTCTTTCAGTTTCTGCAATGTTCTAAAATAACAAATGTAAACAATATTAAACATCAAAATTAATTTAATTTAAAATATAGAAATGTTAACGTAATGTATCTCTTGTTCTTACTCTGCTTTTTTTCTTTCGTGTTCGTCATGCTCTTTCTTGCGTTCTTCCATTCTTTCAATTCGTGCCTGATGACGCCATCTGAATAAGGATGGTGTGTCGATGTTTGGATGTGTGTCATCTTCGTCATCTGAAATCTAATCTCAAAAATGTTAATATTTCATGAATATAAAAATATTTAGATACATAAAACTTAAACAGTTGTATGTTATTACTTCTGATTAAAATAAAATTATTACATTGGAATCGGAAAAAGAAATAGCAAGAGATTAATCAAGAAAATAAATAATTTAAAATATTTAACAGTATGTTAATTTTCGCAGTAACATCTTACAATGTTCCATTCTACATATTTGAAGTGTATATATATTAAATCTGAATCATAATAAATGTCATTTCAGCAATTTAATCATAATAGTCTTTGTCAAAGCAAAAGTGCGCGGACGGCAAGATTTGATCTCAAGTCTAGAATATTCCACAGGCACACTGGACCCGAAAAACGAGTAACATCCTTACTTCAATACTCTTCCATTTGCTGTAGTCCACCATCGTAGCACACGAATGAACCAGCAGTCTCTCGCTAATAAATCGCTCTTTCAGCCGTTCGACTAGACGACTTTTTTGACTATAACTATTGTCTACAAATACCGTAAATCGCCAATTCCGCGGAAGTGCCGATATCCCAACCACACTTGCCGGAGTTTGATTGTCAACTGCAGTGCCGACTGTCAGCTCCTGGTGTAGTTACCGAAAAGAACGAAAGATGTCACGCTGGTGCTAATCGATGATTGGCGTACGCAAGTTAACGCAAATTGTAAATCCACATTTACTAACTGAAATGTCTTCTCATATGAATCTAGCTTAAAACCATGGCGGGCTAAATCAAAGGGATTAGTCGTGTTTACAGCAAACAGATGTAAAACTGAAGTAAACATTTAAATAACTACAAATTTATTAATTTTTTTATATGTTTAATCTTGAATTAAATTTATTTTATCTCATTTGCGTTAATTGCGATCAATTGTGAATGATTAAAGTAAGATTTGAAGAATTGACAGATGGATTGTATGCAACGATGCGCTACGAATGACAGTATGGTATTTTAAATATTTTATGTATAATTTGTATTGCAAAAAATATGATTGGAATGAGAATGAATGCGTTTAACGATACTGGTCTCGGTGAACCTGAACAAGATGCAAATACGGCCCTTATAGAGCTCGATAAAGGTTTGTTTTATTCTTGATTTTCTAACCTTAAATATATACATTTTGTATTTAAATACATGAAAAATATGTAAAAAAATATTAATAAATAATTATCAGTTATATATATGTAACTTGCTTATTATATAAGTATTTATTTTAATTTAATAGGTTTACGTTCTGCCAAAACTGGAGAACAATGTGAAGCTATAGTACGCTTTCCTAGGCTATTCGAGAAATATCCTTTCCCGATATTAATAAACTCGTCTCTGCTGAAATTGGCTGAAGTATTTCGCACAGGGAGTAACTTTTTACGAGTGTGGGTTTTAAGAGTGTGTCAGCAGAGTGAAAAACATCTGGACAAAATTCTCAATGTGGATGAGTTTGTAAGACGTATCTACAGTGTTATACATTCAAATGATCCAGTTGCCAGAGCTCTTACTCTACGTACATTAGGCAGTGTAGCTGGCATTATTCCTGAAAGGCAACAAGTAATAATATTTAACTGTTTAATGAAAGATGGAATGTTGTGCATGTTTCTAAAAGCTGTTTAAAAGTTATAAAATTTACAATTATTGTCTCATTATTAGGTACATCATAGCATAAGGAGGTCTTTGGATTCTCATGATTCGGTTGAAGTAGAAGCTGCAATATACGCTGCCCAAATGTTTGCAGCACAATCTAAGTTATTTGCGGTATCTATGTGCAGTAAGATTTCTGATATGATCAGGGGTCAAGCTACACCTGCTTCAATGAAATTGCAACTTATACCTATCTTGCAATATATGCATCATGATACTTTTACAGCATCAATGGTAATATTTCTAATATAATTTGTGATTACATTTAGTGTGTTTCATAAATTTTACATACAATTTTCAGAATATATATTGCAATATAATTATTTTATTTCAGGTGAATAAATTATGTATGGAGCTCCTTGCAAGTTATCCAGCAGCGGAATTTGTCAGAGTCACTCTTAGTGCACTAAGTACGCTGGCTTCTGCGACGCTAATAAATGTTCCGGAACAAGTTGCATTACTATTACGTTATTTGCAAGATGATCCAAGACTGTCTGTCAAACGTCACGCTTTACATTTATTGCATAGTTTAGCGAGAAGAGGAGCTCATCTCTGGCCGCAGGGTGCCCTTAATAATTTAATTGGTAATAATATGTATCTGATGTATTTTATCACATAGTTATATTATATTTAGTTATATAGAAATAATATAACTTATTTAATATTCAGAGAGTACCACGACACTTTTGCAAGATGGTGCGGGAAATACGGATCTTCTTATTCGCACTTTAGATGTAATTGAGGTCAGTTAAATTGATATTCTTTTGTTTATATTTACATATATACATATTAACGTACATACACATTAACATACATATTGAACATACGTATTAATTAACATACGTATTAATTAACATACATATTAATTAAACATACATATTAATTAAACATACATAGTAGTTAAAGCTTCTTAATGCAGGTGCTCAGTCAAAGTGCTGTGACGTGCGACGCAAATATGGAAGAAAACAGTCCTTTATTGCAATTATGTCTGAATGCATGCTATTCACCTGATCCATTTGTCGCAGTAAAAGCAATTACTATACTGTCTAGAGTTGCCTGTTATTGGTATGTGCACAATCTTCTATGTATATATAGTCTGATATCTAATTTAAATTCATATCTAACATAAGTTATTTTAACAGTTACGAAGAAGGATTGCCCGCTTATGGTATACAAGATGTGATCTCTTGTCTGGAATCTCTTATTGTACTGCTGGCTTTGGACGAGAAGCATTTGTATCAGTTGAAGGCTTGCTTACGTTCGACGGTAAAACTGTGCCAGTCGCAGCCTAATCATTGCACTGTGTTCGTCGATGCTATCGGTTCCACTCTTATTAACGCTAGTGTGGAAAATGGTCAAAGCGAGAAGCAAACGGTTGCCCTGTGCGAAGCTTTAGGCGCTATTGGTAGCTTAGGAGAAAATACACTGCTCTCGCTTCTACCAGATATTCTGGTGAAGCTTAAACAGACCTCGCATGTGCATACAAAGGTAAGCCGTTTGTTTGTAAGATGAATAAAGAATCGTTTCTATTTAGTTTCTATTTAGTTCCTTAAGTTATTTTTATAAAATTTGATTTTGATTTAAGGTAATGCTTTGCACATTGCTATTCCAAATGATGGCTGGAGGATATGAATGGAATTCGGAATGCTTGGAGGCTGTAGATAACGTCGTAAAAAACATAGATGGCTGGGCGAAATATCGCATTGCCCGTAGCGCCGCAAGATACGGTCATCATACAATTGCTACTGAAATATTTAAAGGTCTAAAAGAAACTGTAGCTTCGGAACAGTTGCACTTTTGGCTTTCCGGCTTAGAGTTGGTTACAAAGGCGGAATGTTGTCTTATGTATGTATTATTTGTTTTACTTGTACATCTTGAATATTAATTTGCATATTGTATGTATAAAGGAGCAAAACGGAAAATGGAGGGGAAGCGAACAAGGTGGCGATTGTGGAGAAATTGAACAGAGCTATAGCGCGTTATGCGAGTGCTTGCGCGTCTCTTAAAGCTGCTAGCACTCCGCTGCGTAGTTTGCAGTTTCCAAGTGAATATTCCAAGTTACGATGTGAATTCTTACAATCCATAGTGCAGCTGTTGCACGCATGCATGTAAGCAAGGATATATCTTACGCAATACATGAAAAAAGAAAATAGAAATAAACGTTTTTTTTTTTTTTTTTTTAGATCTTTATGCACTGCGCCACCACCAGCTATAGCGGTCACAGTCGTCATTGCAACGAAAGATGATCTCCAGAGATATGGGCGCGTTACGCACCAGGTATAATTCGCATAATTACAAAATGATTTCAATTATATTGCAATATGTATTATAAATTGCACTTCTATTTTTAGTTAAGAAAATCAGCGCAGGATTTGAAAAATTGTGCAGAAAATTATCAGAAGCTGTACCAGTCAGCTTTCGATGCTGATCCGGGATCGTTGGCGAATATCCGGGCGTATCCTTTCACTAGAGCTATTCTCAGTCTGTTATCAGTTTTGTCAAGTGCGCATTTTTGACTATTTACTTTAACTCGTCTCATACAGATTACAAGAAATGTGTCGATTAATCGCGAACAGCGTGGAAAGAGTTTGCGGCGGACCCGGCGTCTCGATGTATCAGCAACAGAATGATCCTGTAAATTTTCATTTCGGCGATTCGGTGGAGATGCGACAGTTGGCTCGCTGTTGCTGTGAATTGCGTTTCTTAGCACCACCATGGGCGGGCAGCGACGGTAAGTCAGGAGCCATTAGTCACATGCGAGTCAGTTGTTTGATATCGCAAGTGACGCTGCTTGCCGGTGGAACGATGAGATTGCCGATCCCGCGGTACTTCTTCCAAACTCTGCAGACCACCAGTATTAAACTATCGGTTTCACCTCAACCGCGTGTCCTTGGCGAGCCCGTGTCTGTGCCACAAGGTAGCCAGTTGGCGCTTAAAGTTGAAGGAGTATTGCGGCACGGCCGGTGGGCGTCCCTTTTCCGCTCCGTCGCTGCCGTGTGCATTTCTATTTCGACAACGCCGCCCTCGAAAATAAATTCTGATCAAAAGGTAAATAAAGTATCCTAATATTGCTTTTCCAATTTCATATATAGCTAGATATAAAAAATAATTAAGTTTCAGAATTAGTTAATTGATGCTTTATTTTATGCAATTGTGTTTCCTTCAAAATCTCTATCAAAATTAATTATTATAAATAAAATAGTTATTTTCTTATATTATTGCATAAAAGCAATATGAATTGCAGCTTTGACCGACTCGCTATTTATTCATCTGATTGAATATCTATGCCAAGAGATTTATATTAGGGAAGCATTACGATTGCATATATAATATTAAATGATATTTACTTGTAGGATTCCAATATGAATGAATTGCAACAAACGGTAACGCCACATCGTGATTTCTTTGCCTGTGAATTTTTATTGTCCTTGGGAATTCCTGGATCCACAATTGCACCATGTGCAGCTGGCACAAATACAGCTGGTAATACGGCTAGCGGTGGTCAATATCAAATCACGGCAAGCGCAAGTATACTCGACAAGGATGGCAATGTGTGGAAATGTGGTCCACGCTCCACTCTTCCTGTTAGAGTACACGAAGAACCTGGAAAAAGGAAATTACCTTAGTAGGAATGTCGTGCCAATATTTTGTAATATTTACATTCGAATAAATTTTAATAAAAAGAATTTTTTTAATATCATATTTTCATAAATGTCATATTTTTTATGATTTTATGCATTAACTTTTACTTCTAGGTGGTTATATTATATTACGTTGCTACAAACACATTATCCAGACATAATTATACTGATGTAATTTATTACTAATATTGTTTTCATAATTTATTTCATTCTCTTCTCTATACATATATAAGATCTTAAATGCATGCATATTTATACGAGAATTTTTGTCAGCGATATTTACAGATTTATTTAATGAATATATTTGAATTAATCTGCAATATTGTGAATAAATTTGTTTTAAATAATTTATACATCCTAAGTAATTTCTTTAAAACTTTTTTAATTCTCAAAAAATACAACAAAATTTTTTTAAGATATCTTTTTGAAGTAAATTATTCATATCATCGATTTTTTAATAATTATAAGTGTTATAT